TTCAAGCGCAGAATTCCGCAAATGCACTAGCGATGCAGCATGCAGTAGCGTAGCAGGGTCGTCGTTGCAGATTAGCAGTAGAGGCGTGCAGCAGGCCTTTCCGAGGTGAAAGGGAAGTTAAAGCTGTTTCCCTCGTCGGGTGCTCGCCTCGCTTCCTCGGCTTCTCAGCGCGAAGGTTCGCTGTCCTCCGCTTTGTCATCTTTCTCGCCGCTGAGTTCTGGAGACTCGCCCCTCTGGTCGTCGTGTGAGCGCCTAGCTGCGACTCCACGCACGCCCTTCTCTCTCGTTTACTCTCGCTTTTACCCAGACTCGATGGTTCCTGATATCTCCTCCAGTAGAGTGTTCTCGATGTGGTGAGGCGCCAAGAGCATACAAATAAAATAATACAAATAAGCAACTAAGTCTAACGCACGCAAGCAAGCCCTGGAGGATCTTGGCGCGTCCCTGACGGTTCGCACCCCTGGACTCCCGCGATCATGAGAGCTTTTTGTGGCGAGGGAGGAGCGGCGCGACTACCACGTCACAATACAAATGTTATAATATTTAGATATCAATTCAATAAAAACAAAAAAACAGTGTGTTTCAAATACACATGAGATACAAAAACCATTTGTTGCTTTATCTCAAGAACCGTTTGCACTAAGTATGTATTAATTATTGCTTACTTTTTAATTGCTTTTTACAATTTATCTTCAATTTCTTGTGAATATTATGTTAGTTTGTTGTACTTTTGTTTTTATATATAACTATTCAGCAAACAATTTCTGACTGCGCAGACCTGGCAACAGAAACTGTGTGCAGAAACGCTACAATACGGAAACATGCTTTTGTGTGCTGCCAAAGCTGTTAACACTGTGACGTCTTTCAGAGTTCTTACGGATCTCTCGCGTCGTCCTGCCCGAAACGGAAGTACGAAATCGGGACACGGACGGAAGTCCGCAAGATCGGGGACGTCTATATCGGCAGGAGAGAAAAGGGTGGTAAACCGAGCACACCACTGCGCCGAGCCGACGGATCCTTGGATCTAATTTTGGGCGTCAGACGCGTACTCGCGTCAAAATGTGCGTCGCTCGACACAATGGGCCGACTAGCTCTATTTGGAACGGAGAGGGGTTGGGTTTGGACGATAAATAACCAAGGCTGTCCCGAACAAATCTCGGATTGGAATCGCAATCAATCACATTGCAGATAGAGATAATGAAATAAACAATTTATTATAATACCGCGGAGTAAGAGACGACTTTGCGAAAATAACAAAAAAAATACAAAAATAAAGTTCACCTAGATGATCCGGCAAGTGCGCTCTGTCGCCGCGGTAATTGAGTACAAAAAAAAATACTATAAAAGAAAATACAAAATTACGGTGATCTACGGAGTAACAATACCCTTTACACAGAAACGTAATCGATTGCAGGACCAACTTCGTATATCGACTCGTGATACCGAGAACGCTACGTCGTCGTGCTGACTTCACATAAGCTATACGTTACTAGGCGGTATGATAGACAACGAAACAAGCGTTTAATCAAAACCTTCCTGAAGCTGAAAGCGGTGAAATCGATTAATCTGGCCAAATCGTGCGCTTACCACTAGACGGGTCAAGACTGGTCGCCAGGCGTAATATCTACGCCGCGGGACTTACTTGATTTTGCAGGGGCTGGTCAGGCTTACGCCGCGGCCATGCACGGCGCGAAACTCTTGCCGAATTCCCGTCCCCGGGTCGCAGTGTACTTCGGCAACCAATTAAAAAGCAGCAAGCACGTGCCAATTAGCCTACCTGAGCAAAGCGCTCGCGAAGTCGGAAGAGTTTGTTCAATCTCGAATCGGAATGACGGCCGACGTCTTCCGTTTCAACGGACGAGCCTGCCGTGGAGTTTGTCCCCCGGAACGAAAGCTAGGCGCTCTTCGATCCGACAGATCTCCTAGTACGGTACGATAGGTCTCTTCGATTCGGCACGATAACGGTACGAAATTCCCCTGTTATAGCTCTTCCGAATCGCTTGCCCCTTGCTCTCGGCAGATCACTCGGAAATTCCACACTAAAATGCCTTAGAGAATGTAATAGCGGTACGATAGAGTAGCGTGAAAGATTAATACAGCAGTAAGTGACCAATAAGTTGTAATTATTACGCAGGACGTAACACGTTACGATAGCGTTAGTTTCAGAATACGATACTCGGTACGGTATTCGATACGATGATCGGTACGAAATATGGCGGTCGCGAAACGATACAATAGATAAACACTTGTATACGCGAGACACAACGAAATAACGAGAATGCTGCTTGGCGCGTTACTGTAACTTCAGAGCTTGTACTACTCAATAGAGTAAGTACGCGACACGCACTTAGACCTACGAATTAATACCACGAAGCCTCGTGGAATCCGATTCTAGCCGCTGCCGAAAATTTGAAACTATGGCGAAGGTTATGTCCTTGCCGGTACCAACACGCGAGATTCAGCGACTAGCCTCGACACGAGACTCGAGTAACGCGGATTTGTGGCTCACAAATTAAACAAAGACACCTCACCGTACGTCGTTGTCACTCTCCATCCAGCACCATCGCCAAATTCTCCGTTAAACGATCGATCGTCGGGAGTGCCGTTAGTGCGTCCGTCCTGTTCGGTAGTTAGCGACCAAGAGAGCGAGGATCGCGATCAATTCGGGGTCGATGCGTCTGAGCGCGCTAGGATTGTGTAGAGTACATCGCGGCGACCAATCAGGTCGCGAAGGGCGCAACACGCGACGCGATGCTCGCGCTCGGCGACAGGACCCGCGGCCGCGAAATTCAAATCGCCTACCGGGCCCTCATTAGCGAAAATGCAAGCAGCAGAGATTTCCAAGCGTTGGATTCCGCAAATTTAACAGAGATGCAGCATGCAGCAAGGTAGTAGTTGCAGGATAGCAGCGAAGGTTTGCAGCAGGCCTTTCCGATGCAAAAGGAAGGTCAAAGCTGTTTCCATCGTTGCGTGTTTGCTTTTCTTCCTCGGCTTCCCAGCGCCAAGTTTCGCTGTCTTCGTCGCTGTCCTCTTTCTCGCTGCTTGTTCTCTGAGACTCACCCCTCTGGCTCGTGCGAGTGCCTAGCTGCGACTCCACGCACGCCCTTCTCTCTTTTTCTCTCGCCTTTGTCCAACAATCGACGGCTCCTAGTACCTCCTCCAGTAGTGTGTTCTCGGTGTGGTGAGGCGCCAAGAGCATACAAAAAAAATAATAAGAATAAGCGACTAAATCTAGCGCACGCAAGCAAGCCCTGGAGGATCTTGGCGCTTCCCCGACGGTTCGCACCTCCGGACTCCCACGATTATTCGAGCTTTTGTGGCGAGGGAGGAACGACGCGATTACCACGTCACAACACACAGACACAAAAAACGCAACATGGTTACCAAAATTCACCAAAATTATATCCTACTGAGGACACAGATGGATATGGATTTGATGTGGCGGTTGGCGACAAAATTGCGACATCTGACAACCAAATTGTTTGCTGGATAAATTTTAATGAAATGCATAAATCTGTTAATATTCAGATGTCAATTCAATGGAGACGAAGAAACAAGATGCTGCACTTTTAAATACATAAACATGTGAAATGCAGGAGAAATCTAACGCTCCTCCATCAGAAAAAAACTTTTACATCAAGTACGTACATTAAGTTTTTTGTCTAAAAATAATTAATTGTCAAATTTACATAAGTTTCTATATTATTTATTTTATGTAGTTTTTTTATTATATTTTTAATTATTTTTTTATATTATTTTGTTATATTTTATTACTATTATATTAATTATGTCAATTATTTATTATTTTATAATTGTCTTTACTAATTACAGTTTCTACGTCATCTATGATCCAGAAGAAAAAAGCAAAACCCAAAGATATTTATGATGTTAAGAATCAATCTGTGGAAATAAACTCTGAACAGGAACTCAAAATTCAACGTCTTAAACAAATAATGGAGCAAGAAAAAGAACTATTAGAAATAAAATTAAAAAGAAAAAATAACTTATTAGCTCACGAATTTTGTGTTCAAGAATTAACAGTGGAACATATGAAGCAACTGCATAAATTTCAGTTGTGCGAAGCTCAAGCAAAATATGAACTAAGTGAGTTGCTATTAAATAAAGAAACAGAAATTGATAAAATACAAGATGATTAATGATTCTCATTTTCAAATATATTATGTAATGAAACTTTTAAAAAACTATATTACAAAAAAAACTAAAAGTTCTACCAAAAAAAACGTTCCACATTTACATATAATATATCTACATATAGTTTATATAAGTTAAGTGTTATAAATAAATCTATAATATCTATGTAATAAATATGTAATGGTTAATGTGGAAGAAATATATTTTATTACTACAAAACATTTAGCGGAGAGGTTGAGAGAAGAGGTGGAGGGGAAGAAATTGATGCCGGAGAATCAGGCGGGTTTCAGAAGGGGGAGGGGAGTTATGGATAATATATACGTGGTGAATTACTTGGTGGGTAGGAATTTGAGTAGGAAGGGGGGAAGTTTAATAGCACTGTTTTTGGATTTGAGGGCGGCATTCGACACGGTGGACAGGGAGTTACTGTTAAGCTCGATGAGAGAAAGGAGAGTAAGGGAGGGATTAATGAGAAGGTGTGGGGAGTTGGGGAATGAATTGTATAGGGAGACGAGAAACAAGGTAAGAACAGGAGGGGAGTTGGGGAATAAATTTTGGACAAGTAGGGGGGTGAGGCAAGGGTGTCCGCTGAGCCCGTACTTATTTAACTTGTTGACGGCGGATATGGAAGACTGTCTGGTTAGGAATGGTTGGGGGGGGGTAAAGGTAGGGGGTAAGAAAATTTATGTTTTGGCTTATGCAAATAATGTGGTGTTGCTAACGGAGGAAGAGGAAAGAATGAGGAGGATGATGAGAGGGTTGGAATAATATCTGATGAGGAAGGGTTTAGAGGTAAACGTTAGGAAGACGAAAGTAATAAGGTTTAGGAAAGGGGGGGGAAGGGAGAAAAAGTTGGAATGGTGGTGGAAGGGTGAGAGACTGGAGAAGGTGAGGGAGTTTAAGTACTTGGGATACATGTTCCCGAAGAATGGAGGGAGAGAAGAGCAGATAAAAGAAAGAGTGAGGAAAGGGGCGGCGATAATGGGTCAGGTGTGAGAGATTGGGAAGAGAAGGTTCAGTGGGGATTGGAGTAGGAGGTTGTGGTTGTTCGACGCTCTGGTTTGGTCGGTGGTAGGGTATGGGGTGGAGATCTGGGGATGGAGAGAGTAGGAAAGAGTGGAGAGGTTACAGAACAGAGATGGTTATTGGGAGTAGAATGGAGGACTCCGGGGTATATGGTGAAGGAAGAAATGCAGAGGGATTTGTTGAGGGGAAAGGCGGGGTAAAAGGCCTGGAGGTTTGAGGAGAGATTGGAAGGAGGGGAGGGTAGCGAGATAGCAAAGCTGTGTTTAAAGGAAATCAAGAATAGGGAGGAGAGTGGGGAGGGGGTGTCTCAGTGGGAGAGGGATAGGATTAAGTAATATGAAGAGAGAGGAGTAAGGTTGGCGGAGTTGAGGGAAGGAGAGGAAGCAGGGGAATATAGAGCTCGGGTGCTGATAGAGAAGGAGAGGAGGATGCAGAGAGAGGAGAGGTGGAGGAGAATTGAGAACTCGAGATATAATAAGTGGTACGGGAGGATTAAGAAAGAAAGAGTGCCGAGGTTATTTAAAAAAGCGATGGGGGGAGAGCAGGTGTCAGAGGGTGGCAAGATTTAGATTGGGAAACGAGATGAGGGAAGGAGAGAGTGAAAGAATGTGTAGGATGTGTGGATTGGTAGAGGAGAAGTGGAGGCACGTATGGGAGGATTGTGGGGCATGGGGGGCGGAAGGGAATTGGGAAGATATGATTGAGGTGGTCTTGGGGAAGGAGGGAGAGGGGGAAAGAGGAAAGGGCTAGGGGATGGAGAGGAGTGATCGGATAGGGGGGGGGGTGGAGGTTGAATGAGGAAAGGAGAATGGATGTATGGAAATAGTGTATGGAATAGTGTGACTGTGGAATTGTGTAAGTGAAGAAATCCATGGCTGTGTGGATGATTAGTGTTGACTGCCGGAAGGGGGGTCCATATAGCGTAGAGTAGGGTTGCGAGTGTGTGTGTGTGTTATAGAATAGATAAGTTAGTTGTAAGTTAGTTGTAAGAATAGTGTAAGTTTTTATATGTATTTGGTTTTTTCTAACCCTAAGGGGAAACAATAAAGATATCTAATTTAATCTAATCTACTAAAAAACATTTATCTATTTATTTATGTACAATATTAAATATTTGATATATTATTTGTTATACTATTTGTTACATTATCTGACTTTTTCATTCTATTTGTCCATGTAATCTATCAATAACAGCAGCACGCATTGCTAAGCCTTCTCCTGGTTGCCATATAGGTGGTTCAACTAAAATTCCTTCCTCAATTTTTTTATAATGATTTAAGTCTTCAGGTAAAATGTTATCATAAATAAGTGACAAATTGTGTAAAACAGCACATGCCATTACAATTGAAATACTACATATTAGTTTTGTTGTAAGTTCTCTGGATAAACAAGAAAATCGACGTTTCCAAACACCGAACGTTCTTTCAATGATCCGTCGAGTTTTTCCATGAACACAGTTGTATGTTATTTCTGCGTCGGTAGTCGGATTTGCGATTGGTGTTAAAAGAAACGGCAAACATGGATATCCTAAGTCTCCTACAAGTACACCGGTCAATTGCCGTTCAGTATATTGCATATGCAATCTTGAGTTTTGAAATATTCTACTGTCACGCTGGCTTCCTGGCCACTGCGGCACGATGTTCAAAAATTCCATACTAGGCCCAACAATTGCTTGTACATTAAGTGAAAAATATCCTTTTCGATTTCTGTATAATTCTGCAATTTGGGTAAACTTTGTATGTATCAAACAAATATGAGTGCAATCAATGGCTCCATCTATTCTTGGAAGACCGCTCTTATTTCTAATAGAACCCATTTGTCGAAACAGTCTTTGATTTTTAATTTGCTTTTCGTGAGATATTGGCATCTTGATTATATCAAGCATTTCAGCGGCAAGTAATGTTGGTATATTTTGTATACAATACGAGACACAGTTGGTTGAGAAAAAGATAAAAGATTTTCTGTAACAAGCTGTAAAAAAAAATAATACTTCAATATAAACAAAGAAATAAATGCATAGTTGAATACATTCAGAGATACAATTGCTCACTGAGTGGTTAAATAGCAATCGAATATGATTGATTCACCTTCAAATTCAAACCAATCACATGTTACTGCTACTTAACTGCTCAGTGAGCGGTTGTGTTTCTGAATGCACCCATTGAATTAATATAACTAAATATATAATATAAAATTGCTCGGTTAAATGTATACTATTTATATTTAAAACACATATAGTAATAATATCTAACCTGGTAACTTGCCGTTGCATAGAATCGTAAACATATTAAGAGCTGAAAAATTGGAGATATATTGGTAATCCACCATTATTAACTTTTATAAGAGGCTCTTGAATTCTTGGCAATATTCCATATAAGATACTGTCTTTGCTAAATTTGTATCGCCTCTTAAATTCTACCTCATTGTAGTATTCCAGTGGATTCTGCATGTCTGTAATATACTTCTTTGGAGCACATATAATCAAGTTATGTAATTGTTCATCTTTATTCTCCAAATATATATCAACCTCAAGAAGATCAATATCTTCCGGAAAATCAAGTTTGTTTATACAAGCCATGATTTTAAGCAACAATATACGACAAGATATATAACTGAGATACAATTAACTGCAGTGTTCACAAAACTGATACTAACACAAACACGTTTCCATTTCAAAACCTATGCAAAATAAATTTTGTATCACATTGGAAGCATTAATATAAAATATACTCCATAATTTTACTTACTTAGCGGTTGTGATTATAGCGTTAAGACAGCTTTTTAAGTTAGACGTATATACAAAATCACGCGTTGTATGGACATAAGTCATGTTTGCAGTTGTTGTACTTCCTAAATCTGTCTCCAAGTTTCAACAAATGTGTAGACACTACTTGACGTTATATTATTTGGAGATAAGATAATTTATTGTTTACCCTTGTATCAATGCTCTTTCACGATATGCTGCTAAGTGAGCATAATAAGTCGGCGCAGGGTAGCTAACTGCTCTTGTACAGCGTGCATACATATGAAAAAAAATTGGCACACTCACATTTAATAATAATGCGCATAATGATTTAGGGTTGTATGTCTTATAATAAAATATTGGAAATTTTTAGCATTTATCAAAGAAATTATGAATGCTCGAATGCATATCGATGTGTTCTGAGATAATTTTCTACAGAGTGCAAGATATTAAAAACTTGTTTTGTATTAAAAACTTCAAGAGAATTGTATATTTCCTATGTAAAACGCAAGTGTGTTAATTTGAGTATAAAACTTTTGTTTTTTTTTAAATGTGCTTCAATTACAATATTGAGAGTATTTCTTAAAAAATACACTGCTTCCGTATGTCAGAAGACATTAATGGACATATTTTGTATTAATATATCACTATATAAAACTATTGTAAAAAAATAAATATTGAATAAGAAGGCTGTACGAGTATAATACAGGATGGACGTGTATGATTTTATTGTAAGATTTTTTATCCATACGTTTTGATCTAACTCAGATCTTCCTCAGTGAATAACTGTTAGAACAATATTATATGTATAAAATAAAAATTGATTATAACTTATTGAATAACAATTGACAATAACTCACCAATCTGGTAGTCGTAACAGGAGTCATATCACCAGTGTCAGAACAACTTAAGATGTACACATGTTTGCAAACTCACGGCGATATGACAACTTCACATAAAACGACTGNTTATATACGTTTTTACCCCACTCATGTGTCAATAACCTTTACTTGAAATTCTACAACAGTACGTGAGTCAAACCAAAATCGTGAATTTATTTTCTCTTAATGTCNTTGTATGTTTCTAATAACGAGAAATAAGGTTTCAATTTTTCAGTGTCTGACATTATATTTAAAGGATTGTCTTGTAATTTAATATTAATCATTTCTGATACTATTCTTTTATGGTAAAATTTTTCTTTGTCTAAAATTTTCGTTTCTTGCCAATTGAAATCATGTCCATTAGTTAACCGATGTTTGGTGACAACGGAACAATTGGTTAATTGTCTATTTATTTGGTTCTTATGTTCCGATATTCTGGTTTTTAATTTCCTTTTGGTTAGACCCACATATGTGGCATTACAATTACACCATTCAAGTTTATATACTACATATTTATTGTCATCTTTGTCTAATGGATCTTTTAATGTTTTTACAAAATTATCCAATTTGTTAAGACTCCGATAGGATAATGTGATACCTTCAATATTTTTAAAAATTTTTGATAAGGAATAAGTCAACTTATTAATATAAGGTATAACTACATAATTAGTCTTGTTGTTAGTTTCACAATGTTCTTTCATTGCCATTGCAGGTTTGGAAAAGTCCAGTTTATTATTAAGTAAATATTTAATTCTTTTATTAACAATGTTAAATATGAAATGTAAAGGGTAGTCATTTAATAATAATATTTTTGTCATAAATTTAAAATTGCTTTCATAAAACGTTGGGTAAGATAAAAAAATGACTCTGTCTACCATTCCCATAACAGTTCCGATCTTTTGTGAAATGTGGTGTGTGGATAAAAAATTTAGATATTTTCCCGAAAAGGTCGGTTTGTGATACCAATCTGTTATAAGAGTTCCATTTTCAATGATTATTGTTGTGTCTAAAAAATTAATGGAATTGTTTGTTTGTTTTTCTAATGTGAACTGTAATTTATGATGGTAATTATTAAATTTTCTTAATACTTGATCTATTTCAATAATCGGAGCCGTCATGAGGATGTCGTCTACATACCTGTAATAAAAACTAGGTGTAAAAGTTAACTTTTTTAAAACTTGTTTTTCCAAGTTCTGCATTACAATGTCGGAAATAATGAGGGATAAAGGTGATCCCATAGGCAATCCAAATGTTTGTTTATATATTATTTTATTGAATGAGAAAAAAGTAGATGTAGTAATGAACTCGATAGCTTTCAAAAATTCTTGTAAGGGTATCATTGTTTTTTCTCTGATAAATTTCCATCTAATTTTAAGACTTTTTAATATTAACTCATTAGGAACATTCGTGAATAAAGAAATTACATCAAGTGATAGTAAAATGTGGTTATTGTTAAATTTTTTATTCTGAAGACTATTAACTAATTCAAAACTGTTTAAAATATTACTTTCTGTTTTTGGTACATTTGATGTGATAATTTTGTTGAAATAATTACTTATTTGATATAGAGGACTATCTATTGCTGAAACAATAATCCTATACGGACAATTATGTTTGTGTACTTTAGGTACACCGTATGCTCTTGGTAATATTTCATCACTAGATCTCAAGAATTTATACGTTAATTCTGATATATACCCTTTATTAAACCAATTTCTAAGAAAGGAATTTAGATCTTTTTCTATTTTTGTGATTGGATTCTTTTTGACTTTAATATATGTATTTTTATCATTCAACAGATTTTCAACTTTTTTGAAATAATCAACTNTATCAACAGCTACAGTTATGTTTCCTTTGTCTGCTCTCGTGAATGTTATCTCAGGATGTTGTTTAATATAATTGGAAACTTGCTTTGTTTTATTTAATATTAGTCTATCGAGTTCATTTAATTTTGGAGTGTCTGTTAAATAATTGTTTAAAATGGGAATAAACCTTGATCTCGCAGTCTCCGAAATTTTTTTATTGACGTTTTTAATGTTGTTCTCGAAATCCTTTATGCATTTTAAAATCGATCTCTTATTATGGCTTGAAAGACTAAAGTTATTTCCCAATTGCATAATACTAACTACATCTTTGGGAATATTTACTTGTGTTAAATTGATAAACCATTTTTCTTTAATTTCAAAAAATGTGCAAGATGCAGATTTCTCAACAAATCCATTTGGGTTAATGGAAACCGTAATTTGGTTGTTATTATTATTTGTGTGTTTTATAAGAGAATAGGAAAAGCAATTCTTTTTATTTATATGTTGGTTATTAGCTGTTTGTTTTTTATTGTAAGCGTAATAAGTTATTGGTTTTAAAGTTCTGTTCATTGTTTTGATACTTTTCTTAATATGGTTAGAGATTTTTGTTTCTATGTGTAGTGATTGTTTTATTGAGAAATCGCAAAGTGTTTTTTGTTGATTGTGAAAAAATTCGTCCACAACATTGTTCGGTATGTGATCGTATAAATTTTTCGTGATAATGAAGATTTCACGTCGTAACACATAGAAACAAAAATCTCTAACCATATTAAGAAAAGTATCAAAACAATGAAACAAAACCAATATATAATCTTAACAAGTAACTTAACAAGTAACTACTACTTTTATTTTGTATGCTTGTGTTTCACGTTTAATAGCAGTTAATTCGGTATACATAACCTGAGCAAGTTGTCCTTTGCTTACTCCATCTCTAAATATTAAAGTAAAACAAAAAACAATTACTATGTTATTATAAATTGCATTGTAAATAAAATATATAAATATTTTATTTGTAAAAATTTATAACAAAAAAATATTGAGAAATTATATTTTAGTCTTCTTAAAACTCCTCAAATATTTAAAGTTTGATTTGATTAAAGCAAGTCAGTTGTCACGAGAACTAATAGAAAACACGAGCATTGCTTTTACTTTGTGCATTTAGAACAAGAGTCGTTTTATAATGAAAAGTAGAGGATTCCATTTAGGAAATTAATAGTGATCTTTACGTGACAATAGTGATCTTTACGCTACTTTGACAACGCTATTCAAGATTATAATAATATTGCCATGTAATGCCGCCTTATAAAATCATACAACTTTTGTATGAAACATTTTTTCGAAAATAATAAATTTTATAATACAAAGATATTCTATTGATTTTACGTGCATTTATACAGAAATAATCTTTCATTTTTACACAAAGTGCACGAAACTTTGCATATCTTTCTCTGATGTCATTAATCTAAGATGGCAGAAGAAGTATCAAAAAGCCTTATAAATATTTTTGTATGAGTATATAAAAAATTAAAGTTTTTCTCATTTTCATGTATATTCCGCGCGCGAAAATAAGAGTATATTCAATATATATATATATGCAATATTAATATTGCAGTTGGTACATATCAATAATAAATAAGTCTTGTAGAAAGATGTTTCATTCTCTCTCGATAAATTTTGATTTGCGATCTTATTATATCTTCAAGATCTCTAATTATTTCCGTTTTTGGTTCTTGAAGTCTGAGTCAATGTTATACTAAAAAGCTTCCTTATCATGACTAGAAGCACCCTAAATTTATATAACATTTCTCATTAGTAGAGATATAACGTTGATTTCATTATAGAAAGTTCAAGGTGTGTTACTAATTATACTTACCGCTGCTATAGAAAGTATATTAATGGCATGAGGAGAAGGATGAGTTACATCAGGACCAATAAGCATGCAATTAGCATCTTTAAGACATGAAGTGACCTAAATTGATAAAAAACATTTGTTTTGTTAAATTTTCTAATAAAATAGATGGTTTTCAGTTTTCTGTTTACATCAATTATATTCATTTATGAATTAATGTTATTCATTTTGTAGATAGGTTTGTTTATACGAGCCATGATTTCATGCAACGATATACGACAAGATATATAACTGAGATACAATTAACTGCAGTGTTCACAAAACTGATACTAACACAAACACGTTTCCACTTCAAAACCTATGCAAAATAAATTTTGTATCACATCGAAAGCATTAATATAAAATATACTTGTCCATAATTTTACTTACTTAGCAGTTGTGATTATACGTTAAGATAGCTTTTTAGGTTAGATGTATATACAAAATCACGCGTTGTGTGGAAATAAGTCATGTTCGCAGTTGACTTGATGAAATAGAACTTATTTATAAATAAGCTCTACTTCATTTACGAATAAGTTCATCTTATACGAGTATTAATATATACGCATCAAGAAATTGCTTCTTATAAACAAAGTAACGACTATGAATACACAAACGCCATCTCAATTCGGAATGCAAACAAGTCCGTTTTTGTCAAGTCTATCTTATTTCTATGAACTCAAGATCGAGCCAAGTATCAACTGTGCATCAAGAGATAGACTTAAGCATTAATTTAAGTCTTACTTAAATAAAAGTTATGACTATGAATACCGCCCTTAGTCCTTTGCAGATTGATTTCTTGAATGAATTTTTAGAAAGAATTTATCGTGCGTAACTCCCACAGACTTCTATAGTATACTAGACCGCTAGCTTCTTATGTACGGCTGGCTACAAAATGTATGTATTTAAGTCGTCATGGAGGGGGAAGATGGGGGTACTAAAGAATGCAAGATGGTCGTCATGTTTGACAGCTGATTGAGTTGTAAGGTTGTGAGGTTAGTTATTATATACTGACAGTTTGTACTTTAATTTTATAAATAAAGGAATATAAAACAATTATGTATTTTTTTAATATTATAAGTGAAACATTGAAGTGAAATATATTATAAATAAAATATATAATAAATGAAATATATTATAAGTGAAATATATATATAATTGACTATTTTCTATATTTCGTAAGGATATTCATATTATATATTCTATATATTCATATTAATTTAAAATTAAAAAGATTATTAAAAGCCTTAATTCTCTAATTGTTAAAAGGATTATTAAATTATAAATTTTTTATAAGAAAGGTAAATATATTTTAAAAAATTCGGTAATTATGCAGTTATACGGACTATTTTCCGATCTCAACAATTTTGACATATGTTATCAAGGTCACCTCTCTGAATAATAATATGAAGGTTTTATCCGTCGCTCATTGTTTATAAAAAAGTTATGAACAAAAAAAGTTTGATGATTGAACTCTCGTTT